AGTATTGTTGAAGGATTGTAGCAAATATTTTGTTTTGTCTTTTGTTTTATTTTTTGGTATTCTTTTGTGCCTCTTCAATATTTTATGGTATATATGTCCTATCTCTTAAAGCAGCAGTTCAGAGGAAGTTAAAAATATGCTAAATAAAATCTAGCATCTTTAATTAGTAAGCATAAATACTCAAACTAAAAGATTAAGTAACTGAGTGTCTGTGGCTCATTCCTGTAATCCTAGCTACTCAGGAAGCTGAGATCTGAGGATTGAGGTTTGAAGTCAGCCCAGGCAGAGAAGTCTGAGACTCTTATATCTAATTAACTATCAAAAATATGGAAGTGGAGCTGTGGTTCAGGTGGTAGAGTGCCAACTTTGAGCAAAAAAGCTCAGGGCCAGTGCCCAGGCCCTTAATTCAAGCCCCTAGGATGGGCACACACACACACACACACACACACACACACACACACACACACACCGCCAAAAGTGAGATGCAGACTCTGAGATGGGAATTAACTAGAAGAAAAATAGATATTTTTAACATATATAAGTACCAGAGTTACCACTGTACATTTTAAACAGGAGGATTCTTTCTATACTAGAGAAAACTAGACTTTATTTTCCAATCAAATGCCAGTTCTTTCATCCTTACTAGACTTTACAAGGTTTTCATTTAACTTAATTGAAAGTTATATGATTCTATTATTAATAGTATAAGAATACAACTATTCTCCTAATAATACTAATAATATTATTACTAGTATTACTAATAGTATTACTACGGCTTGAACATAAGGCCTCATACTGTATTTGGCTTGCTTGCTCACACCTGGCACTCTACAACTTGAGCCATACCTCCAGCTGGCTTTTTTGTTTAATAGAGATAAAGTGTCTCACTGATTTTTCTGCCTGGGTTGTCTTTGAACCTCAATTCTGATTTTAGCCTTCTAAGTAGTTAGGATTATAGACATGAGCCAAAACCCATGGCTAAAAGGTGACAATCTAGAATTAGAACAATAAATAATAATAAATAATAAAAGTGCTTAAAGAATTGCTATTATTCTTTTTCTAGTTGCTCTTAATAAAACTTCAGAGGCTACTCTCTATACCTTCCTGAGACTTCAAATCCTGAGATGTTGCCTGATTTTTGGATTTTTGTCTAAGAATCATTAATGACAAGAGTCCAAAACGTCATCACACTTTTTCAGTCCAATTCCTTCTTACTCATATTCCATTATAGTAATTATAATAAAGTCACCAAAGGTGTAAGTGATAAGATCCATCTTAAAATATTTGTCTTGGAAATTAATTTCTGGAAATTGCTGTAGACATGAATTTTTTTTAACATCTGGATTTTAGAGTTAGGAAATAACCCTGTCTTAAAAAAAAGATTGAAATAAAGGCTTAAGGGTATGGAAGCATGCATACTGGAAGATAGGATAGGAAGGGAAAGGGCTGAGACCTAATGTGAGATCCAATTGTTTTTGGCTTCTTTGTGGCTAAAAGTTAAAACTAGGACTAGGAATTTATAGACAGGGATTGCCCTGTCATAAGAAATGATGACTAGCACCAAAGGTTTCAGATGAAGAAGGTTTTTAACAGCTAGGCTGAGCCTAGTAATGGAATGACATCTAAAAGTTCTGTCAGTAACAATAGGGTCTATAATTGCTGAACAGTAGTCTTTAGGAACAGTGTTAAGCTCTGATAATGAAAAGATTTAGGCAGGGTTCATCCATAGTTAAGTGGAACATTAGTGACTTATTGTTGTATATTCAAACTGGCTCACATAGAACTTTGGAGCATGAGGACAAGGACCTGTTTAAAAAACAATGACAACCAACTCAAAATAACTTGAGAGATGGATAGTAGTACCAGGATTCTGTTTCATGGACCATCAAACTGGTAAAGAAAGCTTCTGAAAGTGGAAAGATTACCAGTGGAGATTATCAGAGAAATCAAAGTGAAGTAAAATGAGGCTGGGTACAGAGTGCTAAAATAAATAAAAGGTAATAAGTTATATTAAGTCCTTTATTACAACAGATAGTAGTCCTAGATTTTAAAAATCTAAATGACAAAAGCTAAGTGAATCTATTTGTTGTTTAAGTTTGGCAGAAGAACAGTTAAATAACTTGACCTCTAAGAAATGCAGCCTGGTAATAATCATTGATAAAGACTAAACAGAGAAAGGAATTGTTATAAACATAGTTAGATCATTCTTTTTGTGCATATTTTTACCTAAGCAAAACTTCCGGTGGTCTTTGGTCACATTTAGAATTCTGTCAGATGCTGGGCTGGAGGGATATGCTTCAATAATATAGGCTATTGGCAGAGTTGAGTTTTCAGCCCCATAAAGATCTTAATAATAGTTGAAAGAACTTGTAAGAGTAAGGAAGTTAGTTTTATGAAGGTAACTTTTAATTTCATTTTTAGACAACAATTCTTTGTTTGAACTCCTTTACATTTTACTTGTTAACACTAAAAGTTTGGTTTAGTTGGATGGTATAAATAATTCAAAAACTGCTTTTGGCATTCTGAAAAGTGAATCTTAAGACTGTCTATGTTTTTTGGCACACAGGTATTATAGCTTTTTAAGACCAAGGGGAATTCAAAAGACATTTAAATTAAATGTGCTCATTTTACATTTGAGAAGAATGAGGCCTGTAAAAGTTATATGACTTGCTTAATTCCAGAGTTTGAATGGCTGGGTTGAAACCAAAACTCAAGAAGCTGAATTTCTAGCTTACTACTTTTTCCATTGCCATATTTATCTTATCTCAGACAACAACCTCAAGTTTAAAAGTGTTTAATTATCAGGTTTAAAAATAATCACAAGAATTTTAATCTAAATTTATTCTAACTTTCTAATCCATTTGTTCTTTTACACAAAATTTTTTTTAGTTTTAATTTTAAAAATATTTTATTGTAAAGGTGATGTAAGGCGGGGTTACAGTTACATGATTCAGGTAATGAGTATATTTCCTTTTGAACAGTATCACCCCCTCCCAGCTTCCTTCCCCCCAAAGTTTTATGGTTTATTTCCAACATAATGTCTAATGGATTTTACTGGTGAATTGGTTCTCCCTGTATCTCATTATTTCTGTGATTCCCCTTTCCTTCCCCAAATCAGATAAATTTATTATACACAAGACAAAGAGTACAAAAATAAAAAACAGTCACTGGAAGGAATTAACCAAAGAAAAAAGGATAGAAGAAAAGAACAGAACCTCAAACAGTATATATAAAAAAATCTCTTCCATTTCTTGGAGTTCTTTTTGATAAGTATCATTTTATATGATCTATGCACAGAGCTATTGAGCCCTTGGGATCCTCTCCTAAGAATACCCTCCTTTGTTCTCACTGTGTGAATGTTTAGATTTGTAGGATAATTTATAATGGGCATTTCCATAATGTTGGTGCTCTTCTGTAGAAGCTTTGAATGTTTTCTATTGAGTTCCTATTTAAATCTTGTGAGTTCTATGCACAAGGTTAAAAAAATGCCTTTCCCCAGTTTTGCTGACATGAGTAATTTTTTTTCTTTCAGTTGATGGAAGAAAAGACCCAATGGACTTCTATATTTTAGGACAAGCATTTGGCTAACCAATTAGAAAACTCTTTATTTTCTCTTTAATGTACAGAAAAGGAAAGGGGATTTTGGTCTTTTTTCGCCTTGGCCAAATTCTTGAGCTAATTTCTCAATGATTTCTATTATGTATGTGAACTATGACCATACATGAAAATGGTCTGCTTTAGTTCATGGCTGTGGGCAGAGATTAATTGGTGAAAAATAGGCCTGTTTGTGGGATTTACCACACAGTAATGTTTCTCATCTCCCTGGAAAAATGTGGAATTAGCTCTTTGAGAAATGCAGGCTTGTCATGAAGTTGAAGGGAGAGTTTCTGTGGAGGGAAACACAGTTCTCTCTCTAAGGCAGTTATGATTGGTTAGATTCCAGAACAGTCCCTTTGGAACAGCAAAGTTCTTTTCTTCCTACTTTTAAGTCCATGTTTTCTAATGTTGCTAGTTTCACCAAGCTTTCACAGACAGCATCTTTTGGGGGGGGGCTTCTTTCAAGATCAATGGATCCAAACTTGGGTGTGGTTTTGGAGAGGGAGGGACCACTGAAGAGGACCCCCTCCCATGCCTTCTCTCTAGAATACCCTGTAAGTAAGTGCCAAAAAAACCCAAAAAGGTCCTATGTGGAAAGAACATTTGTGATAGCAAATGAATGCTGTGTTGGAGATACAGGATGTGAATCAGTTCATTATGTGGCAAGGGTGTAAAACTGAGGCTTGATTAGATGAAGAAAACGGTCTACAAAATATAGATGCTGCTGCCATAACTCAGTCCAGGGACACACTTTCTTAGGCATCCCTGTGAGGGTCCGGGCCCAAGAATCCAAATTGCTGTTGAGGATCGTGATTGGGGTTTCTCCAGTCCTCGCTTGGTGGTGGCTGCCCCTTCAATGGGTCATAGCGGAGCTCACACAGTCCCAGTGCCCACTGTGAACCCAGCCACTACTCCTCCCTCCTCGGCTCTTCCCTGGTGTGTGTGTGTGTGTGTGTGTGTGTGTGTGTGTGTAGGTGTGGCTGGGGGGCACAAACACCTTCTCGCCCGAGATGTCAGTAGTGGACCTGTTGGAGCCTTGGCTGGGCTCGGATGTCTGTCACTTACCGTCAAAGGGAAACTGTGCGCTCGGGGATCCAGGATGGCGGGCTCGCCCTTGCACCCGCAGATGACAGGGTCCGTCTCTGCCAATCACTGCCCGATCTTCCGACTGCTGTGCCCGCGCTCTTCTTAACCTGGGCGCGCTCAGACTGCGGGGTCTGGGATTGGCAGCCCCCAGTCGGGCGCTAGCCAAGGCGCGGGTGGGCCGCGGGATGGAGCTCGAGCACGCGCAGGCGGCGGGCGGGGCGCGCTCCCGCGCGGAGTCCCCGAGGGGCGGGGGAGGAGTGCGCGCCGCCCGCCCGCGCGCTCGCGCGCCCAACGGACCAGGCTGGGGCGGTGAACTAACTGTTGCAGCCCGCGCGGGAGCTGGGAGGCGACCGGAGCCTCCAGTCCCTAGAGGTGCCCGCGGGAACAGGAGGAGGCGGAGGCGGCCTCCGCCCTCCGGGAGCGAAGCCCCTTCGGTCCCTTTCTTCAGCAGCATGCCGCGGACGCCGCCGCTCCGCAGCCCGCGCGGCGGTGGGGATCCCGGGCGGCGGTGGCGGGCGCAGCCCTGACGCGCGCTCGGAACCTTGAACGCGGGGACGCGGTGTGAGGGGCGGGGGGAAAGTCGCCTGAGGTCTGAAACGGGGCTCCCGGAGCCCCGCGGCCGCCCCGAGGCCTCTCTGCCCGGACCCGGGGCCATGAAGAAGGACGAACGAGACGGGAGAGCCATGCGGTGCCCGCCGCCGGACGGGGCCGCCTCGCCCCCCGAGAGCCTGCGGAACGGCTACGTGAAAGGCTGCGTGAGCCCGCTGCGCCAGGACCCTCCGCGCGGCTTCTTTTTCCACCTCTGCCGCTTCTGCAACGTGGAGCCGCCGCCGCTGCCGCCGACCTCCCGCCCGCCGCCGCC